CGCGGGAGCCGAGCCCGGCCGGGTCTGCCCCTGTCCCTGCAGCCCCTGCCCCGTTCTGCAGCGGTCGCAGCCCGACCCTCGCCAGGCCCCGGGCGTTGCAGCAAGGAGAGCTCCCCGGCCTCGCCCCGCCAGCGCCGTCCTTCACCATTTCCAGGCAGATCAGCACCTACAGGGCCCAGCCCCCCCCCCGCCCCTTATCTCTCAGCATCTGGCTGGCAAGGGGGGGGCGAGAACCGCAGCCCAGTGCCACCCCCGCCGGAAGCCCTGCCCAGGGCCACGAGCCAAGCCGCCTTTCCTGCCCGCTGCAGCTGCTGGGCCCCAGGGACCAGCCATGGGTGCAGCGGGGGAAGGATGTGGGGTCTCGGGGCGTGGGGGGCGCAGCTGGGGCCACCCAGGGGAGACAAGGGCAGCGAGGTGGAGATGCAAACCAGCCCACCCACCCCAGGCTGGCAGCTCTGAATCACCCCCGTAGGACACAGGTGTCCTGGCTCTCAGGGGGGACTGGAGCCAGATGCCCTCGTCCCAGTGCCCAGAGGCAGAGCAGGTGCCATGTCCCCACCCAGGCCACGCTGCCAGCTCAGGGCAACCCCAGGAGCTGCCTCATGCTCTGGGCACGTCCCTCCACCTGCCCCGGCCCCTTTGCTCCTCCAGCCACAAGGAGCAACCTCTCTCCTCCCTCTGCGAGCCCCGAGCAGGGCCCTGGTGCCTGCTCCGCGTTGCCAGGCTGCAGCCACTGGGTCACAAACAAGCCCGTGGCTCAGAGCCAGCTCCAGCAGACGGAAGGGCCCAGCGCCGCCTGCCTGCAACCACCGGGGCCAAGGACCGGGGTGCTTTGCTCCTGTCCCCGTAGGCAAGGCTGGTGCAAGGGCTGATGGCAGCACCTGGACGCCCCGACCCATGATGCCCTGGCAGGGACCAGGCAGCCAGGAGATGCTGGTGTCAGGGCAAGGGGGTGGAGCTGGCACTGGCCGAGCCCCAGGCAAGGTCGAGACCTGGAGCAGCTGTGCCGTCCAGGGCCCAGCCCGTACTGGGGACCCCATGCCCTGCAGAGGCACGGTCAGGGTGTGGAGAAGGCGCCCAGCCACAGCGGGGGGGGGAGCCATCGCCTCATACTGAGCCGGGCTGCAGCCCTTGGGGTACACAGGGCCCTGGGGTCTCTGCAAAGGTGGCCCTGGAGAGCAGAGGGCTCCTCTCTCCAGACCCCTACAGTCGCTCCTGGCTGGGAAGGCCAGACTGGGAGTCACCCACTGGGGAAAGCTCCTTTGCACACATCTGCTCCAGCCCAGTGCTGCCACCTGGAGGGGCAGCATCACCCCCCCCCCCCCCCCCACAGCCCGGGGGGGCGGGGAGTGGAACCAAGGCGCTGGGCAAGCCAGAAGCAGGGGCCGAGACTAGGCCAGGGGCCAGGGGCAGCTGTACACAAGTCTTTTTTAATAGCTGAAAACTTTACAGGATATTGTAGACCTAAAATGCTACTGTACAGAGCGGGCATCCGCCCTGCCGGCCCCCGGCTGCACCGGGCCGAGTCCCCCAGAGCCAGGGCCGGACAAAGAACAGAGGGAGACACCCGGCAGGGGCTGGCGGATGCCCAGTCGGGGGGGCCAGTGCAAGCAGCAAGCGGCGCCACAGAGACCCCCTCCAGGCCCCCCGCACAGAGTGCCCGGAGCCTCCCATGCCCCAGTCTGATTGCACTCCTCCAGCTGCCTCCTGAGCCCACCTGGTGCCGAGCAGGGCACCCCGTGCCCCCGGCTCTCATGTGCAAGCAGGGGCAGCCCCGCCTTGACCCCAGCAAGGGGCACACGCAGCTGTGGGGGGGGAGGGAGGGGAGAGGCAAGGGGTACACAAAGGCTATGAGGTCACTGCCCCCCTGCCAGTCCTGGGTGTTAACCCCTTCATCCCTGAATGCTGCTGCCATGTGCAGGCCACACGTGGCCACTGGGGTTCCCATGACCCGAGACCGAGCCCCATCACGGGCACTCGGGGCAGCATCTCATCTCTGCGGGGGGTCCTGGCGTCACCAGACTCCGCTGGGTCCTCTCCATTCCCGGTGCCCCGAGGGCACGGGCTAGTGCGGCAGGGCTGTGATGCGCATACTCTGCGAGGCGATGGGATAGGTCACCATGGGCGTGGTGGCGTGGCTCATAGTGATGGCCCCCAGCGGCTGCGCTATGGACACAGCCACGGGCGCCACTGAGACAGCAACGGGTGCCATGGACACGGGGGGCGCCATGCCCTGCGCAATGGTCTGGGCCAAGGCGGCCGAAAGTGGGGCGATCTCGGGGTTGAGCGGGGGTGCAGCGTTGGTGGGTGGTGCTGCCTGGGCTCCGGCCGGGGCCACCAGCTCCTGCTGGGTGACGGGACGCGGCTGCAGGGCCTGGCTGCTGAGCGTGGTGTGGGTCTGGGCAATGCTGTGGTTGTAGTTGGTAACGGTGCCCACGGTAGGCGCCAGGGGCTGCTCGGTGGCAGCAGCCGTGGAGCTGAGGGTCATGACCTTGGCCTGGTTGCGGAACTGGGCGTTCTGCTCCAGCAACACCTCGTTGGTGGCCATGAGGTTGCTCACCTGTTTCTTGAGGTCCTCAACCCGCTTGCGCAGCAGCAGGTTCTCCTCCTCTAGCAGCCGGTGCTCCACAGAGCGGGGGCTGCCGAAGCTGTACTCATAGGTCTCGAAGTGGAGCCCGTCCACACGGCGCCGCTTCAGCAGCGGGTCATGCTCCTCATCGTACAGCGCGTCATAGGGCTCGTAGCGCCGTCCGCCCGGCGCCAGGCCCTGCTCCCGCCCCGCCCCGTACTCGAAGTCCCGCTGCAGGTGCTGGAACTTGCACTTGGCCCCGCGCTGGCAGTCACCCTTCAGGAAGTCCCGGCAGATGGGCACCTCCTCCTTGCTGTTGGGCAGGTCGGCAGGAGAGAGGCCCAGGCCAGCAGCCACCTTCTGGCGGAGGCGCGGGGGCAGCTCGCCCGTCTTCTTGTAGCAGTCCTCGTCCTCCTTGGTGCCGTGGATGAAGCGGCAATTGAGGCGGACGCACTCCTTGTTCTGGAAGTCGTGGCAGAAGATGAACTCGTTCTTGCGCACGCCCAGATTGGTCACCTCGCTCATGTCGGGGTGGCGGAAGCGGCAGCGCTTGCCGCGCTTGCACACGTTGCGCAGGAAGTCCCGGCAGATGTCGTCCGAGCCGGTGCCCGCCTCGTCGCTGCTGCTGCCGTTGGTGTAGTTGTCACGGTCGGGCATGGCTGCGCCCCCCGGCAGCCACGCACTCCCTCCCTCCCCCCTCCCCGCCCCGGCGGGTGGTGTCAAGCTGCCCGGGCGCTGGAAGAGAGCGAGGAGAGAGGCAGGGATCAGACACGGGACAGGAGCAGGCCGAGCTGGCCAGGCCCTGAAGACACATGAACCCTGCTTGACCCTGGGGAACGGGGCCAGTCACGGCCGCCCCCGGGGATGGGCTGAGCCCCACTTCCAAGCACATGGACTCAGCTGACAGCTGCCTCCGCCAGGCACCAGCTCCACCAGCCACAGCTGCCGCCTGCGGAGCCCCAACCCCCCCCGCCTGCTGCTGTGGCTACTTCGGTGCCAGCGGCCCTGGGGCCCCGGTGCTACTCCTGCCCCCGCCTGGCCCAAGGGGCCTAGAGCCAGCGTGGACCCCCGGACCCCCCACCCCGCCGGGCTT